CTATGGCTTCTGAAAATTTTGTTCAACCTGCAATCCCACGCTTTGATGGTCATTATGATCATTGGAGCTTGCTGATGGAGAATTTTTTGAGGTCCAAAGAATATTGGCAGGTCATTGAAAGTGGCATAAAAGAGGCAGCAGCTGGAGTTGTTTTGACAGATGCACAAAAGATAGAACAGGAGGCACAAAAGCTGAAAGATTTGAAGGCAAAAAATTATCCCTTTCAAGCAATTGATCGTTCAATCTTGGAAACAATTCTTTGCAAGGACACCTCCAAGCAAATATGAGACTCCATGAAGAAGAAGTATCAAGGGAACGCAAGGGCGAAGCGTGTGCAACTCCAAGCTCTTCGTAGAGAGTTTAAGCTTCTTCAAATGAAGTCAGGGGAGTCAGTTTCAGAGTACTTTTCGAGGACAATGGCAATTGCAAACAAGATGCGGATTCATGGAGAGAAACTAGAGGATGTGACCATTGTTGAAAAGATCCTTCGTTCAATGACACCCAAGTTTAATTTTGTGATTTGTTCTATTGAAGAGTCTAAAGACATTGATATTCTTTCAACAGATGAATTGCAAAACTCTTTGCTGGTTCATGAGCAGAAAATAACCCAGCAAGACAATGAAGAACAACCATTGTAGGCAGCAACAAGCTCAAGAGGACATGGAAAGGGTGGATGGAAAGGCAAGAATACACACCAGAGACAAGGAGACAAGAAAGGTGTTGAATCTCAAGGAAACTGGAAGGCTCGTGATGCTCAAAGTTCAACAGGATCTAAACCAAAGTCAGCTGACAAATCCAAGGTGGAATGTTATTGTTGTCACAAGTATGGTCACTATCGCTCAGAATGCCATACAAATTTAAATAAACATCGAGGGGAAAAGTCTAACTTTGCAGAAAAGGAAAAAGAAGAAGAAGTTTCTCTCCTAATGGTGTGTCATACTATGGAGGAAACTCACCCGAATTTATGGTACTTGGATACGGGTTGCAGAAACCATATGTGTGGAGACAAATCAATTTTCTCTGATTTGGATGAATCATTCCGAGATACTATTAAATTTGGTGATAACTCTAGAGTATCTGTTTTGGGAAAAGGAAGTGTTTTACTTCAAACCAAAGGAAAGTCTCATTCTATTTCCAATGTGTTATTTGTTCCAAATCTAAAAACTAATCTGTTTAGTGTTGGCCAGGTTCAAGAAAAGGGATATGATATCTCAATTAAGGATGGAGTTTGTCAAATCCAAGATGACAAGTTGGGTTTAATTGCCCAAGTACAGATGACAGTAAATCGGATGTTTCCTTTGTATCTCCATCACATTACCCACAAATGATGTCTCGCTGCAAAACTAAAATACACAGCATGGCTATGGCATTTTCGCTATGGCCATCTCAGTTTTGGTGGTTTGAAGACCTTGCAGCAGAAAAACATGGTGGCAGGCCTTCCCAAATTTGAGTCTCCTTCAGAAATCTGCGAGGAATGTGTTGTTAGCAAACAACATAGAGATGTTTTTCCAAAAGGAAAATCTTGGAGGGCTAAGAAGGCACTGGAACTAGTACATTCTAATTTGTGTGGGCCAATTATACCAACATCAAATGGAGGTAAACGATATTTTATATCATTTATTGATGACTTTATCCGAAAAACTTGGGTGTACTTTCTGCAGAAAAAGTCGGAGGCTTTCACAACCTTTCAAAGGTTTAAAGCACTAGCTGAAAATGAAGTTGGCAGTCCAATTAAGATTTTACGTACTGACCAAGGTGGAGAGTACAACTCACAAGAGTTTGCTGATTTTTGTGGCAAACATG